GGTCTTGACTCACACACATCTCAGCCTTTTTATTATCTAAGATAGCCGCAGATGTGCAGGCGAGCTGGTCTTGACTCACACACATCTCAGCCTTTGTCTTATTTGGCAGTAAACGTGCTCACCTTTCCTGTTTCTGAATACATTGGTCTGACCGACATGGGAAAGCTAAATCACACATGAGAACTGTAAGTGTCACCACCACAGACAAGCCTTTCTCTCTTTGCTCTCAGATTTTTGCTGGACAGAGTCAGCTGCCTGTCAGAGGAATTAATAGCTTCACGATTGGTGCCTCTTCTGCTTAATCAGTTGGTGTTTGCAGAGCCCGTAGCTGTTAAGAGTTTTCTTCCTCATCTGCTTGGCCCCAAAAAAGGTGAATTTTTTCAAGTATTTCTGGCAGTTAAGGGGTTGGTGATTATTAGTCCACTTTTGAGTGGACCGATGTTGTACAGCTAATGTTGGGATTTGAGTTCAAAGCATGGTTACTGATCACTGCAATGATTGCTCTAATGCAATCTGGGTACTAGGCCCACAGGCAAATACAGAGCATCTTCCTGGAGAGCACATTTAATGTTTTAAATGGGTTACCGTGCACACATACACATATGTATGTGCACACACACATTGAGTAGTTCTTTCACATTTTAGTACTCCATTGTATCTATGATTCAGTGTGACTCTCTGTAGTTCCTTTCCAAGACCAGTCTGCCCGATCTATTAGCAGGCATATGTATTTTTAAAGACTCCCAAACGACTCTTAGACATCTTTCTGCTTGATAATGACTACTGTAGCTACTGCTCAGCATTTTCAAAACCCCATTAGCACTTAAGTCCTTAATTTACAACAGCAGTTGTACATCACTAACCTGCAAGAAATTATTGAATGTAACTGTATCAAAAGCTACTCAATTCAGAATCCTAACACGTGGGCAGTATTTTTAATAAAAACGGTTACAAAGTAGAGTGTGCGTACTTCAGCCTTGGGTAATTTTGGATCATCCCAGATTTAAGGGCTTGAACAGTAAGAAGTTTGGAAAGCGTCCTGGGCTGGGTTTCTGGTTCCCGTTCATTACGTGGCACTTTGTTCATTCGTCTGTTCCCTCCTGCGCTTTGGCAGCTAACGCACGGGGAGAGATGCCCGGCTTGCTCCCGCCGGCGCTGTTCCAGGCCCGCGTGGTCCCCGTGCTGCTGCGGCTGTTCCAGGTGCACGAGGAGCACGTGCGGCTGGTGCTGCTGTCCCACATCGAGGCCTACGTGGAGCACTTCACGCAGGAGCAGCTGAAAAAGGTCATCTTGCCACAGGTCAGACAATGCAGCGGGGCTGCACACAGCCTTCAAAGGCAGGACAAGGAAAAAGTGAGCAGTGTTAATTTGTGGACATGAACAGAAGAGTCTGGGGTATTCAGGTAATAGCCTAGAAAGCCTAAAACAGCAGTTGAAGAGGTGTGGAGGACGACTCAGGGTTTGGGGCTTGATTATGCTGGCCTGTAAGTTAGACAGGGCTCTAATTATATATAAAAAGTATGCTTTACGTTGCTTGTACGCTTCATCTATCAGCACTGAACTCATGGCTGTCTTACTGTGTTCTGTTGGAGAGCTCTGATCTCATAAGTGATGAGACAAAGCCAGAAAAAGAGTGACTCATAGGTCCAGCCCTGCTGAGAATCACTAGCAGAGCAGGGATTATGACCCGCCGCACCTGACACCATTAGCAGACTAGCTGTTCAGTTTATCAGAGACTTTGTACTCCGTGCAGTGTGATAATCTGTAACTGAACCCAGCCAGAGTGACCCAATTAAAGCTTTAAAAAAAGTTCTTAATGTGGAAATCAAGTGCAGATGGATCTCACAGGTTGTTGCTTTACTTAACTGTCTACATTTGTTTTTATTTTTGGTAGTATTGGGGTTTTTAAGTGAGCGTGAAGCGTGTGCTTACTAATAAGCAGGTGCTCTCCTACTGACCCAGGCCTCCAGTGCTTGTGAACTGGTTGTTGTTGAGATTGGTTCTCCATACTTGGGTAGGCACCTAGACCAACCATGCTCAGCTTCTTTCCCTTGTTCCGGAGTGTCACGTGTGTTACACTTCTACCTGTGATGGCCCAGAACCACCGCTGCCCCAATCTCAGCAGTCCACCTAGCTAGCTAGGCATATGCCACTCTGCCCAGCTACTGGTTGAGAAAGGTACTTCTAAACTCTTTGCCCAGATTCCAACTACGGTCTTCCAGGTAGCTATGATTACCCATCATACCCAGCAAGGTTCACTCGTGTCCGAAGACCAGCTCTTGATGCTTTTAGTATGCCAGTGGCCAAACACCCCATTATATCTAAGTCTGCAGTGACAGTCTGCAGGTCCTCCTTTGGTTCTGTAGAGCTGGAAGAGGGGCAAAGAGCAGGAAGGTGATTGCTGCTGCTGTCAGTGGTCTACATGTGCTCTCCAGAGAGAGCATTACAACTCTGAACTGTTACATAAGCTAAGTGTGGATGTGGAGAGTTAAATTTAGTTCCATTGATGCAAACCTGGAGTAATTATTTCATGTATTTTTAAGTCTGGGATGGACTGACAGGGAGGGAAATCTCTTTGTCTTTTACCACCTAAGGAAAATGTAGTTCACTGAGCAAGCACATTCTGATTGCATCCCCAAAGCTTGTTTACAGGGAGAGAAAAGGGTAGGTACTATGCTTTTCTATACTTAGTAACTCTCCGGCTCCTAGGTACTACTGGGCCTGCGAGATACCAGTGATTCCATTGTGGCGATCACTCTTCACAGCTTAGCAGTGCTGGTCTCTCTACTTGGACCGGAAGTGGTTGTGGGAGGAGAAAGAACCAAAATCTTCAAGCGCACTGCCCCAAGTTTTACTAAAACTATGGATGTTTCCCCAGAAGGTAAGAATACAATTAAAATCTAGCTTTTTAGTATTAGATTTTTAAGACGCTTTTCTACATGAATTTAGCTGTATACAAGCCTCTAAGTTTTGGGCCACACTTCCAGGTGGTTTCTCTACTGGCTGTCTTCTAGGCCTGTGCCTCCCGGCATCATGCCACAGCATGCAGACCTTGGTTAAGATGAAATCTTGGGAACTTCTATGCCCAGGCTGGCCTAGAACTGTAATTCCACCTCAGCTTCTCAGGTAGCTCGACTCACAGCTGGAGCTGTGGTGGCTGGCACCTGTCATCCTGGTTACTTGAGATGACTTGTTCTGGAGGTGTGGTCAGAGGACTGTGAGTCCTATCCAAAAAGCAACCAATGCATTAAACAGCTGGGCCATAGTTCAAATGATAAGACTGCCTAGTAAAACAAGGGGTGGGGGGAAGATCAGAGATTGAATCTCATTTGAGTGTGATTAAGAAACACTAGTGAGCTCTGTCAGCAGCCTGTGTTCCAAGTTTAGAGCAAAGCACCACTTTTTCCTTATAATGGTGAACAAAGAGAACAACTTTTACAGTTTGCCTGCATAGTGATATGAAGTGTAACGACGGCAAAGTTGTGGCACAGTGTAGACTAGCACACTGGGCAAGAACGATTGCAAAGTAGGACTTCAATAGGAAGGAGACTCGCACAAACAGCCGCTGAGTCCGAGCTTAGAGATGTGAAATCCCGAGGGTTGGGGGTGGAGGGCAGATAGCATGCAAAGTGCTCAGCCAAAATGGACGTTTTCTCAAAACAACTTCCTGCAGCAGTACATTCATAAGGCTAGAGCTGCACTCTTACTAGGTACTTACTAAAGGAAACTGGTGAGGATTTAAACCACCTCTGGGGAGAGCACCTCAGACACTCAGCGTTGTTCTTTTATCCATCTCCCTTAACCCCTGCGTAACCACACACATGACAATAGTGTACTCTCTCATTTCTCAGAGGTTTTATTTATTTTCAGATTCTCCCACGCATGCAGTTGCCTGCAGCCAGCAAAGTGAGATCTCACCAGTGTTGGAGAAGCCTTCTCCTGGCATATTCCCTAACTGCTTCTTTTCTGGCAACATTCCCATCAACAGCAAGAAGCACATAAAGCAAGATTACTACAGTACTCTCTTACGGACAGGTAGAAATAAGGGTTTTTTCTGTTGCTTGGATTAAGTTTTCTTATTCATACTCCATCATACCTCCTTAACATTTCTTCCTAACTCAGGAGAACAAGTTGACAGTACTTGAGTTACATTTTTTGCATCAGGTAATTTGGACTTCTGATGCTTTCACTGCATCTTCCAAAATGTGCCGTAAGATGATAGATGATAGGTTATTACTGGGTTCGGCAAACGGCCTTGAACATATTTTTCAGAGCATATGTACTTAAAACATCTAGAACATTTAAGAACACTGGTGTAGACTTTTTTAACTGAGTTATGCCAATGGGCATAAATACTACGTTTTAAAAATTAGATCTATATACTTCCCTCTCTGCAATGCTGTTAACCAACATTCTATGAGAATAATCTCACACATATCCTCACAGGTGATCAGCTTCCCCAGTCCATTGAATTGCCCATGAATGGAATCTCAGACATGAAAAATGCTTCTGGGGATCATGAGGACTTCGCCTCAGGCTCCAAAAAGTGTGACGAATGGCCTGACTGGAGTGAGCCGGAGGAGCCGGAAAACCAAACTGTCAGCATTCAGGTCTGGCCTACAGAAGCCTGTGATGCTGCTAGGTCCCAGTGTACTAACTTGAATGTGGAGAAAGAATCTTGGGGTGACTGCGAGCTCAACTTAGGAGGCGAAATCTCCGCGGCGGTGCCCGTTACTTCTTGGGAGCAGAAGCCAGTTCCTGTTTTGCTTCCACTCACTAAAGAGTCTAAGCCTTTGAAATCAAGCCCTCCTCACAAGACTAATTTTGCAGAAAGCAGAGAAGACTCAGACCAGATCAAGCCACCAAAAGCACTGTCACAAGAAAGACCCCTTAAGGCTCGATCAGAACTTGGTTTAGGTGAAGAATTTACCATCCACGTAAAAAAGAAACCAGTACAAGATCCCGAGTTAGACTGGTTTGCTGATATGATCCCTGAAATTAAGCCTTCAGCTACTTTTCTTATTTTACCTGAACTGAGGACAGAAATGACGGTTCCCAACAAGGATGCTGTCTTACCAGTCATGCAGTTTTCCTCAAAATTTGCTGCAGCAGAAATGAGTGAGGTGAGTATTTTGGGGAGAGTGCTACTAGTTTAAGGATTGCTTGCACAGGTCCTAGCTTATATTAAGCATGCTATTTTCTGAATGAAGGGAAAAAATACTGCGTACAACTGGTTAAAATGATCAAGTTGATCAAGGCAAGCAAGAATGAACAAAACTAGTTTTCCCCTAGAAAAAGACAGTGGGTAAATGTTCAAAATAGTCAGCTTATTATAAACCTTGTACTTGTAAAAATAAAAAGACAGCTCCTGAGAAATTGTGAAAAGTGGGTCCGAAGTGATTCTCCTGCTTTTCAGCTTTTAGTTACAGGTTTAGTTACTTGCTTCACATGAGGCTGTCTATGTGTTCTGGCATCAACATGTGCTGAAAATGGTCATTTTTACATTCCTAATTTCTCAGATTTGATTTGCTTCAGTAGGTTGCTGTTGGTATGTTTGTGTTGCAGGGAGACACTGAAGGCTGGGGAGAAGGAGAGCTGAACTGGGAAGATAATAACTGGGAAGATAATAATTGGTGACAACAGGTGTGAGTTAAATGTAGGAATGACTCCTTTAAAAGAAATTAATACCTCAAAAGCAGACTGTGTGGATGAGAAAGGCACAAAGCAGCCTGTTTTCCCCATACCAGGAGCTCTTTGTGAAGTCTGTGCCAACTCAATTGTGAGGCCAACCCTGAGAGCTGGCTAGACGCCAGGGCAGCCCAGGCCTACAGGACAGGCTGCCAGGAGGGGCACTGTGCGTGAGGCCAGTTTCCATGAAGAACAAGTAGCGGAGGAAAGGTTCAACTTAATGCTTTTTTTCCAGGATAATTCTGGAAGTAAAGAAAATATAAACATGCAAGCTGGTTAGCTTAATTTTGTGCCATTTCTTTACAAATGAGAAGAGTAAGTCTATTACAAAATTTAACTTGCTGGAAAAAAAATAGCTCTAAATTATAAGTAACTTCAAATCACTCTGGTTTCCTTAGGCAGCTTATTTATTTGTTCACAGTTGTACGCTGAGCGAGGGTCCTCGGTGGACCTAGCAGTTACTGACTGTTCCACATGTATTTCACTGTACCAAAGTTCTTAATGAGCAATCTCCCCCCCCATCCTGTAAATGTCAAATAAAGACTATTTTCACTAGATCTGCGTTTACAAAAGCTCTTTTTATATACACTACACCAGAAAATGTACAGTCGCATTACCCAGCTCTGTGTGGGTGACATTAGAGTATCTGACGTTTCAACCTCTCGATCCTTTGTTGCAGTGTTTCCATCTCCATTAGAAGCCAGGCGGGAGCAGGAGTCTTTTGAATTAAGGACTCTGTTGCGTCCAAGGCCCGCGTTGCTGCTTGCAGTGCTGACCTATACTCTTCTTCCAGTGGGAGGTCATGACGTGCTCTTTTTGCAGAAGGCTTTTCAGAGAAAAAAAAACGAGATAATGATGTAAAATTTCTCCTTGTAATCATTGGATCACAAGAACAAGATAGTATAGTACCTTGTCCACCTTCTGACCTCAGTTATCTAGAACAATGCATGAAGCTGTTCTAAAAGTTGTAACTAAAACACCCAGGAGCAGATTGGGATGCTGTAGAAACTGAAGAGCATCGTAAAAGCTGAAAGAGATCTAGTAGAATTTAGATATTACTGTGCAGTAGAAGGGTTTCTATGGTGTGATATGGCCGTATTTCCAAAAGGAAATGTAGCAGTCACTAAATCACATTACTGGTGCGACTTCTCTTCAGGAAACACGGTCCATGGCAAATATAAGCACATGTCAAGCACTAGGTTTCTTTTAGGTCCCTTTCAGGCTTCTCTTGCAGGGGGTCTGACAATGGGATACCATTAAACTGCAACTAAACAAGTACAAAGCACCAGTTCTGCTTGGTGTAGGTATCTGGCTCCTAATAAATTTGGGGATTATGGTCTTTCAAAGTCTCGCAGACAAAATCACAACTGGTTACCCAATTGAACAAGCCTAGGGAGTAGTGCTTACACAACCCAATGATCTGTCTTAATTCTTCCCAGTGCTGTGAGTAGGCCACTAGCCCACAATATGAAACCACACGATTTATAGAGGGGCTGGAAGCAGATTCTCAGGTCTGTGTTTAGCAGCTGTGTCTACACTTAATCCAGACCATAATGAGCCAGCTTCGTATACCCATTAAAGGTGCTTGTTTACAAAAGACTCAGTGCCTTTTTCTTCTCAGGAGTAAGCGTAAGCCAGAGTTAGGCAGCTAAAGAGTGTGGGTGAACAACGGTCTATAAATGTGGATGGAACCACAGAATTCTCTAACTATAGAACCTCATAGAATTTCTTTACTAGAGGTATACTTACATAAAATAAATTTTTCATTATGAAAACAAAAATCATGATGAAACCCTCCACTTAAAAATTACTCTCCTGTGGCTCAAAATAGTATTTGCAATATTCTTAGTGGTGTTAAGTTGTTGCCTTTGATAGGTACATTTTTAGTTATTTCTTGCCTTAGTCATAAAAGTAGCCTAATGAACACTCTAGAAAGTAAGTTAATTCATCTTTTGTGGTTCAGAAACTGCATTAGGCATTACTGGGTCAATATATGTAGTTAAGTTTTCCCAACAGTTACTACAAATGACTTATTATACTGGAAGATTATATTTCCTGTGATGTTTAAAATTTTTGTTACAGTTCTGTCTAGGGTTGGTAATCTTTCCAAAAAAAATACAGGATTTCTAAAATACAGTAACTATAAAACAGGAGAATCTTTAAAGTGTCTGGAGTTAGTTGTGAAGTTCAACCTAAGGATAAAAAGTGAAAGAAGAAAGGAAAGTGCTGAGGATAGCATATCCCTGGTTAACCACATACCTGTAAAGATGACCGCTTCATTGCTGCTTCAGTCACTTCAGCAAAGGGCACCCAGAAAACAGCTTTTTCCTGTTTCACACGTTCCACTTTGGCAGCTTCATCTTCATCTACACACCCAGACTTCAGAAGACCATGAAAAAATAAATTGAAAAACACGTGTGTTCTACTAGATGCCAGTGCTGCAATTACAGAAAGACTAAGTACTCTGTTTATAAATGCTGAGTGCGAAACCATTTTGTCTTGTGAACCAGTCCAATTTTAGAAGTCAAGTAGACTTATCTTTATATATGCTTGCTTGAAATGTAATTAGAATTCTTCCAGTGTTTTTCCCTATAGAAAAGTGACTTTCCAAGAAAAGTCTGCTACAGCTAACCTTTACGAACTAGGCTCTAAAGCCTAAGACAATAGCAAGGCAATGTATCCACTCAACTCTATGTATATGACACATATAATGGATAAAATGCGCAGATCCTAGTTTAACACTGGCATACTAAGCAATTTATCCTAACACCACCCTGCTGGCTTTCAAGGTATACACAAACACGGGGCCCCTATGATTCAAAATTTTGATTCTAACTAGAGTGGTATAAATATCTATGAAGATAATTGTCCTAGTCTTGGAAAAACAGATAGATCTTGGCTCATAAAAAGCCATACCTGAATCATACTGCAAAGTTTTTCTTTTTAAATCCTCTTAGTTCTGTATAATCAGATGTCTCTAATATAATGTTCAACATGGAAGTCTGCATTTGCCATCTCAACTATCTAGATTACCAGTAAGATACTACTGTAACCCAAACTGCACAGTAAAGTGCTTCAGATGTTTTCCCATATACAATCAGACATTTTAGAGCTGGGACCCAAGTTTAAGTAGGATACTCGTTTATGGTAACTTTATGTAATGTATGAAACTGGCAGCTTGAAGTTTTTCTATTTCTTTGGTGCTCAAAGCTTCAGGTTTGGAACATTCTGGATTTAGGGGTGTTTCAGCCTATCTATGTTAGCAACTCTGAAAAGTCTAAGTTGGTTATAAGGACAAAATTTTCTTTAAAAAGATTAAAATATGGGATATGTAATAAATATTTACCTTCTCCAGAAAGGTTACTACTTTGTTCTTAATTTCTTCAGAACTGACACACTGTGGAACTATTTCTTCATGATGGGTTCCCTATTAAAAGATTCATAAGACTTTAATATACTTTAGCAAATTGCAAAGACAAGTAATGTGACTATTAAGAACTACCTTAATTTAAAATTAAATGTTTTTTGTCAGCTGTGGGGCTTAAACTCTGGGCCCAGGCACTGTCCCTGAGCTCATGAGCTCAAGGCAAGCGCTTCTACCACTTGAGCAGTAGCCCCACTTCCAGTTTTCTGGTGGATCATTGGAGGTAAGAGTCTCACAGACTTTTCTGCCTGGGCTGGCTTTGAACCATGATCCTCAGAGCTCAGCCTCCTGAGTAGCTAAGATTATAGGCATAAGCCACCAGCACCTGGCTTTAAAAATTAATTTTGAGAATATTCAATGCAAAGAGTACTTAAAACTCTTAAAACGTCCGTCTTCAGAGTATCTGGAATAATGTTATCCTAACTTCTGTACAAGCTTTATTTACTTCTCTACTCATATTGTCTCTACACATTCTCATGAGCAAAAGTAGTGGATCACAGTTTAAAAAAAAAAAAAGCAACACACAAAGCCATTGCTGGAAGCACACTACCAGCTTTCCCCCGAGTAGTATAAAATCTAGCACCATCCAGTCCCAAAAAATTGCCTAGAAGGCATGTATGAGTTAGAAGATTTGCTCTCAAAACATGCCAGTCCTTGATCTTGGAACGCTCACCATTGCTCACGGCCTCACTTAAGGTCTTGTAAGATAGTAATTACCTCCTCTAATATAGGCAGCCCCAATAGATATCCCCACAAAGAATTAGTTTATAATTACCTCAGCAAACTGAGTAAATGCCTCCAAAGTATGTTGTTCTAGTAGCCAATTCCTATCAGCTAGCAGTAAGGCAAAGATACAAGACAGGTTGGGCAGAATTTTGTCCTGAAAAGAGAGACAACCCTGATTAAACAGAAAAAGAAACTTCAGGGTAGAACGAGCAGTCACTTTCTATAATCCATCCCAGTGAACACAGCATGTAGGTCAACTCTTTTGGTCAACAATAGCTTCCCTGGATGAGGCGTGCTCCATATTAGGAGCTCTGCACCTGACATGATCTCAGCCTCCTAAGTAGGTAGGATTACAGATAGGAGCTACTGGTGTCTAACTAGTTTCAGAGATTTTAATCAACCTATATGTACTGGCCCTGACTATAGAAAACATTTTCATTAGTGATTTTTTTGGGGGGTGGTCAGTTTTGGGGCTTGAACTCAGGGCCTGGGCGCTGTCCCTCAGCTTCTTTGTACTCCAGCACTTGAGCAGTGCCACTTCTGGATTGATTTTGAGTTGCTAGAGATAAACCTCATGGGGACGTTCCTGCCTGGTAGATCTCAGCCTCCTGAGTAGCTAGGGTGACAGGCATGAGCCACCAGTGCCCAGCTTACCAGTAGTCAACTAACTTAGAATGACTGTTCACACTGTATAGTAGTAGTGAGGATAAAACTTCAGGATTCCCTTCAGCCTGAGGTCTTAAAATTCAGTAGACATGTTTTTCTAAGCCATGACATTTTTATAAATAATTGCCTAACTTGTCAGCACAAACTTTTTTGCAACATTAAAAAAATAACTTTATTAGCAAATAAGCTTCCTTTTATGAATATACAACTGCAATAAATTATCAAATGTCCTAATTACATACTATCACCTAACGGACCTAAATATTTTCTACCTTCAGAAGACTTTTGTGCTGAAGTCCAACTAGAATGAGAACCTCCTATTCTCAAATGATAGTGGCCAACTCAGTAAATTATTTGAATGTCCACATGCTTTTCTAAAATAACTTAAAACGAGCTCTATTTGACAGTTACCATCAATCAGAAAATGTTTCTTTTTCCTCCAGCTTCATTTAGAAAACGCACAGAATTTTAGAAATCAAAAGCCAAGGGAACCTACTCATGATACAACAGGAGTGTGAGTACCTGTATAACCTGAGGTATAAACAGCTTTCCTAACGAAGAGACAAAATCCAGCACTGCAAAGCGGACATGGTCAGCAGGCTCCAATTTAAGTAGTGAGGTCTGCAAACTGACTACCTGGAAAGGAATAAAGCATAAGGCTAGTACTCTCCATATAAACCAAGACTACCTATGAGTTAGAGAATTATGGAAGGAGGAAAAACAAAAATTCAGAACATTAAA